TGCACAGGTGGTGTCGTTTTGTTATTTTCAGTTGTGAAGGAAAGGATCCTTTAAGTGCGTTCATCTTAGGGTGACTACTAAATCTCTGGCCATGGCTAGCAGTTGGTCTATGAGGGAGGCTCCGAGAGGCGGAGAGATTACTGCTCTTTTGATCCGGCAGCTTCTGCAGCTTGCCTTGTTCCGAACGTACTGGTGTTACCTTTCCTTTGGAGCAAACAGGGCATGTCGAGCGAGGTATCCTGATACAATGGCACCGTACGATCTCCCTGCCCAGGTTTTGTGCTATGGAAAGGAGACATTCGCCATGAGCGGTGATTCCCGTTCCTCATCCTAGCACAATATGTGGTTGTCGTCTGGAGAGACAGAAAGTGGCCAACTTAAGATGTCTGGTCTCAAACAGACGTTAGCGGTCGTGCCTCTCTACTCTTTTCTGGCTATTGATATTTGATTGAAGTTGGTATTGCATAAATTATTTGCTGCCCAGTTCTTTGTGCTTTTTACACAACACTGTCGGTCATGAACCCTTGAAGTAATTGAACAATTTATATCCAATTTCGTCCTTTTTAGGACAAAATTTTTTGTCATTTGAAGCCCTACTCTGGCCAAATGTCTGAACGCGGTTTCTGGGACCTCTCCACGGCGATCCTCATCCACATGGTGGCACTTTGTGTCATCGGGTGTTTATCGCTTGTGTGATGTCCTGGTGGGGTAGAAATTCAGTTCAGTTCAATTCAGAAGTAATTGAAGCAGTATGATAAACCCATTTAGGAATGTGCTGATAGGCACTCATAGAAGTAGAAAAAAGAGGGCACAATAGACAACATGAAAAATCAAAAGCTTTAGTGAATCACACCTTTATGGCTCAACTCAAAAGAACTTTGGCAGTGTTTTTCCTCTTGATCTCTCTTACACTTCTAATGCTACTTGAATCCATCTATGATTCCCTTCTCTACTGTTATAATTGGTCGTATAAGGGAGTATGCAAAAAATCGCTTCGCGAATTTAGAATGATAGTTTTGTAATTTCTCTTGTAGACTACTTTTATGTTTTATTTGTATTTTTTTTTTTAGCTACTTGTTCTTAAAATTTTCTTTGTTGATAAAGACTTTGTTCTAAACGCTGTTTTCTGTGCCTGCGTGTGTCTTTTGTTGTAATTGTTGAGGAAATGAGTTCTCTGCAGTACGGCTGTGACAAATAACATAGAAAAAACACGAATTTTGCGCCAGCTTTGCAAAATACAAAGAGCCTTGTGGTGTCAAGCCTTCATTCACAAAGAGAAGAAACAAAAAACAACACAAATAAGGAAATAATGTTGAAGTAAAAATCATTAAGATATTTAAATATTATATAAACGAATGAAACAAAATATATGTAATAGCAAACGACAGAATTATGTAATATATACGTTCCTGAACCGCTCGAATATTATATAATTTTGGAGCGGGATAAGTAAGTAGACGAATTGTGTTTATCGCTGGCGTTTTTTTCTAATGCCCTAATTTCTTTACTCTTTCTCTCTCTCTCTCTCTCTCTCTCTCTCTCTCTCTCTCTCTATATATATCTATATCTATATATCTATATATATATATATATATATATATATAATATATATATATATATATATATATATATATATATATATATATATATAGTTTGCTGGTAAAAGCTTGCCTGTCGCCGCAGTGCTGTTTATTGCATTGTGTTCTCCAGTTTTTCTTCTTCCATCAGAAAAACTTATCGGGACGCTATCATCATCATCATCATCATCAGTTTCCTCTTCTGTCGTTGAACATTTTGTGATTGATTGCTTGATGGGTAGCAATGGCTATTATCATTCCGTGTCGACGTAGAAGCTCTTTAATGTCATCAATCCATTGTATCATAGAGCGGCCTTTTTTCACTTCAGATCTTTTCATGGGTAGCGCCTGTGTGAGTAGTTGTTCTGCTTGCATTCTTACTAGATGACCAAACCATTCGATCCTCTGTTCTCAAGTAGTTTTATAAAAGCTACCACGCAATCCAAACCTCCATTGTACTGTACAGCTTTTTCGAACAGGCCAGGTTGCTTTTCTGTTAGCCTCATACAGTTGGCAGAGTTGGGGTGTTTGGGTATTTCCCCCACTTATATTTCGCATTCATTTCTTCTCATGAAAATCGTGCTCCCTTGCAGTCCCCATCAACAACATCACATGAGTAACTCTGGTCGTCGAGTGAGTTAGAACTGCAACAATGAGTTGTATAAAATGTGTCACCGCAGGCCGTCAGTGCGTTCGTGATGGGTAATCGCCTCATTGTCCATCGATCGCTCAGCCCTGGAGCAAAATGATCCCGACACATCTGCACCACCAGCCCGGGTGCTGCTGGCCGCTGAAAATAGGTCAGGCGCTGGGACGGTCGCCACGGCTGGGCATTGCTTTGAACAGTCAGTCAGACGCCGGCTCCGCAATCAAGGTTGGATGCAATAGATCTCCAACACGCTCTGTCTTTTATTGTGTCACTGTTGCTAACAATGGGTTGTTTAATGTCGACAAGGCGCTGTCTCTTTCACGATGGCCAGCCCGAGCTCCCTATCGGCGATTCCAACTGGCTCATGTGAGCCAGGCATGTCCAAGCCGTTGATTTCTTTCGCTCTGTTCACGATCCCAAATTGTCTGATAGTTTTGCTAGATGTCGGGTCATTGTTTCCAGTTTATCAATATGTTTTATTTAATACATTCTGCACGATTGCCATCGTTTTATTCTCAAGTATCACTCTGGTTCCGGTATTGAAACATTTACAAACAGTAGCAGTTAGTTGTCCCGTTCCCGTTACATCTTTTAAACAGGTATGGGTTCTTTCGTGATATCATACCCCCAGATGACGTCACATGACAGGCCAGCATTTTAGAGGGTGGTAAGACTGGGTTTCCCGGCTTTCTGATGTTTTTAGCGACCCCAAAACATCTAGAACTGGTCCTAATCCCAACCCACCTACGTCCCACGAGAGAGTGTAGCCTGGGTCCCACGAATGCATGCAGCCTATCTACTACCCTCTGAAATATTAGACTGTCCCGTGACCTATGGATTTCCATTGTTTGGGGTAGGATAATAATAAAGCACCCAGGTATGTTCTCACGCTGCGTCACCTGGTTGTTTCACAGCCAGTGAACGCGTATGCAGATGGTCATCCTCAGAATAATGGGTATTTCCCGATTTCTTAGCCCACTGGCGTGCAGCCGCAGCAGCTATGTGCATCATTGGTCGCCAGCGCGCATTGATATTTTCCCAGAGCTCGGGGTGGTGTGATGCCTGTGCGATTAAATGTGTTTCCTCAACAGAAGTGTGGAAACGGGGAGTAATGTAGATTTGCTGACAAAGGTGGCAACGGCCGAGCCTGGCTTTATTATTGCGTTTCAGAGATTCTGGTGTAGGCTGATGGCCATTCGTTAGCCACCTTTGATGTTGAGTGTCTCACTCGTGGCTGTGGGTTGCCGGGTCAGTGACCTGCTTCTGCCCACGACTCGCATACCGTTTGTTAGCATTGATCGGTCTGTCTGTCTGTATATCTGTATCTACCTCTCTGTTTTTATCTTCTGCTCTCTCTGTTTCTGCTTCTGTAACTCTCTCTGTCTCGTGCTTTCTCTAATTTCTCTCTTTCTCTCGCTTTCCCTCTCCATCTGTCTCTCCCCCTTTCTCTCCTTCTTTTGCATGCTCTTTCTCTCTCCGTCTTATTCTCTCTCTCTCTCTCTCTCTCTCTCTCTCTCTCTCTCTCTCTCTCTCTCTCTCTCTCTCTCTCTCATGCTTTCTCTCTGGCATGTCAGCAGCAGGTCCTTCAAGGGTCCTCATAGCTTGCTCTGCACACTTTACTGTTGCGGCCAGGTGTCTTTTCGAAGTTGTAGGTAGAGTGGGCAGGTCTGCAGAATGTGCTCAGGTGTTTGTGGTCCTGTCTGACAGGCACACTGTAGGGCCTGTACAATCTTTATTTTATACATGTGGTTGTTTAGCTTGCAGTGTCCTGTTTGTCTCATTTTCCCATGGGTGTCTGTCAGAGAGCATACACTATGCTAGATACTTTAATAAAGGCAAAGAAAGTATTTATTACAAGAAGGCTATGCTAGAGATCGGTCATACAATTCAGTCAAGAGCAACAAATAAGATGGTTTTGTCATCTTATGAGAATGTTCTGGTAAAGACTGCTTTACACAGCTAAGCTAAAGAATTGTTAGAGGAAGAAAACTCAGATAATGGAATGACAGCAACAAGAAAAAAATTAAAATGTTTGCTAGTAGCTGTGATGATAAATACAGTTTAGGGTTCATGATTGCCAGGAAATGGCAAATGAAAGTAGAAAATATATACAACAGTGTGAAGGAGACAAACAAAGTTCTTTGGTCATGTGATGAGAAAATGAGTACAGGAAAATATTGTGACAACCGGTAAGATCAACTGGTAGAAGATGTAGAGCAGGGCTATTCAACTAAATTTCCTTAGGGGCCAAAGGGTGGAAAATGGTGATCGTCGCGGGCCAGAGACCTGAGTCTCAAAATAGAAAGATCATTGATACAGTACAACTTCAAGTGATCAGCAGGCCATTTGCTAGACTACTACGGGCCACATTTAGCCTGTGGGCCGCCAGTTGAATAGCCCTGATGTAGAGGCAGACCAAGAGAAACGATGGTGGATGGCTTAAGACAGTGGCATCGAGGAATATGATGATAAGGGTTCTTGAAGTAATTTATTTGCTCTTTGTTTGTGAACAGTTTATAGACCAGGACCCCTTCATGCAGGACATCATTCAGTATCATAGATAAGAGACAGGGATACATGGCAAGGCACTTGATGATAAGGGTTCATGAAGTAATTTATTTGCTCTTTGTTTGTGAACAGGTTATAGACCAGGACCCCTTCACGCAGGACATCATTCAGTATCATAGATAAGAGACAGGGATGCCTGGCAAGGCACTTGATGATAAGGGTTCATGAAGTAATTTATTTTCTCTTTGTTTGTGAACAGGTTATAGACCAGGACCCCTTCAAGCAGGACATCATTCAGTATCATAGATAAGAGACAGGGATACATGGCAATGGTGAAGCACAGCCCAGTGAGCCAGAATTCGACCAGACCCTCATGGACTATAGCACCAACCTCCTCCACTCCGCCAGAAGCCGATGAATCTGTGTCGCATACTGTGACTGGAAGTGAGTCACCCTGTCCGGTTCTGGTTGTTGTTGTTTTAACTCTTGTTGTTCCAGTGAAAAATCTTTTTAACTTATCTTATAACAAGCAGCTCTCCTTCAAAACAGCTAGTACTGTGGAACCTCCGGATGTGAGTTTACCTGGATATGAAGTTCACAGATACGAAGCTAGGCCCGCCAGTCTTTTCATTTTTGTTTTACCCCGCAGAATACAAGGTGAAATACAGACGAGAATTATCTGCATTATCCGAGAGCATCTCAGTAACCTTTAAATGGATACGGTCACGTTAACATTGCATAAGGAGGAATTAAGCCAGTCAACAAGGTACTTGATGATGATGGACTGTAGCAATATGGTCGGCAGTAACCCCGTCTTCTGCAGCCAGCAAAAACAGAAAAGCTGGGCTACTATTTTGCCCATTAACCTATTTAGTGACCTCTAATAAAATACATTTTATGGGGGAGTCTGTAAGATGCGGTCAGCATCAAGCAAGCAGCCTTTATTTCCCAGGACTCTACCTGGTACCCATTCTGGGCTGGGTCGACCTGAGAGCCAAGGTTATTTAAACAAAAATAGTTTGGCACCATTAGGACTTGAACACATACAAAACCTTCTAACTGCAGGCAAGAGTCTACCCGCTACACCACGGCGGCTCCCTATATAGATATATAGATTACAATAAAGGCAGTGATAGAATTTTGTGAAGTAACTTTCTGTTTAGCGTTCGCAGTGAATTTTCCCTTTAATAAATTCAGGCCTTCATGGAGCTATTGGGGAACACAGACGCAGTAGTCGCTCATCATCGGTGTCCTCAGGTGGTTCCAGCACTAACAGTGCAGAAGGGAATGATGCCGTTCGCCAGCATACACAGAACAGGTTGAATGGGATCAGCTCTTCTCACCTGCACAGTCAGGACCTGGCTCTGGAGCAGTCACTGGGCTCTGGGAATATGCCGACCATGGAGAAGAAAGATCCGTCAGACATTCTTTCTGGGAAAGATGGCAGGCTGGTGAGTCATTTTTCTGTCAAAAATTTCATTAACCCTGGTTGCCCAGAGAACTTGTCCCAGAATTTGAGTTTTGTGTGCATATCTGTTTTACAGTTCTAGCTTATCTGTATGCAGACTGTTGCTACATTGTCTCTCAGGCAGGTGCATTCCAACATCAAAGGAAATACCCTTAATTAGTCTACTTTGATGGCATGCTTGTAAGGAGTACAGTGGGACCATCCCCGCTTCCCCTGCCCCTAATTGGGAGCTCACTAGGAGAGTTGGATTATTCAACTTGTCCTTTATACATGTTCAGTTCCTAATTTCACCAGCATATACCAATAAATAAGAAGTTCTGTAGCCTAATTACAGCCAGTGACGAGAGAAAGAGAGAGAGAGAGAGAGAAGAGAGAGAGAGAGAGAAAGAGAAATGAAGTCATGAAAACCACTGATTTATTTCTTTTCTTTTTACAGCTAATGCAGTCACAGTCGCTTCCCGACCTGGAACCAAGGGGAACTAGAACATCCCCTGAAATGTCCGAACAGTTTGGTGCTAAACTTGGCAACTCTGACCTAAGCCCGTTTGGTTATTTCATGGGATCACAGAACAGTTTGGACACACCAAGTGAGACCATTATAGAAAACTGCATGTTGGCTATGTTTTAAAATTCTGCATGTTGGTTATGTTTTTGAATTCTTTAATTTCTGCTGATTGCTTTGTTGTGTACAACATTTATCTGTCTGTCACTCTTGCTGTCTCTCTGCTGCTGTCTGTTCCTCTGTCATATGGTTGGTCTGTCAGATTTCTCTGGCATTTGCTTTGACTATGTCCCACTCTTTTTTATGTCTTTTACAGGCTGTCATTAAATAGCACTTTTTTCTGCCCTCTTTGTCTAATATTTTATGTCTCCTCATTCTGTTTTAGTTGCTGTGCCTGCCTGTCCTCCACCTTGTTTTGTCGTGTCTTGTTTTTGTCTGTCTGTCTGTCCCTTCCGCTACTCTGTTATGCTCACTGCTGTCTCTAATGATCTGTTTCGCTCCTATTGCTCTGTCTGTTATATTGTGTCTCCATGTTATACTCTTGTCTTTTTAAATTATTACATTACCCTTCCTGTAGACAAGGAGCCGCCGTGGTGTAGTGTGTAGTAGCTAGTCGCTTGCCTGCGCATTGGAAAGTTACTGGTTTGGGTCCTCATAGAACCAGTTTTTTTCTCCCAGGCCAACCCAGCCTTGAGTGGGTACCTTGTGAAGTTATGGGAAGTAAAGGCAGTTGGCGTGATGCTGACCACATCACCCACCAAGTTGTGATCGGTCTATGAAATATAGGTCTAGCCCAATATGCCCGAAGGCGTGGAAAAGGGTCCTTGTGCACTTCCTGTACACGGGTAGACATGTAACAGATTATTTGATAAGAGGAGAAGAGCTCTAACATGCAAGATGGCATCAGTGGCCTTGCAATGGCAAACATTTATCGTGGAGGTGGAAGACTTTACCTATATGGTCTTGCCGGGTAACGCTGCCATCACCATAGACTATGGTTTCTATGTCTATCATCATCATCATCAGGTGCCTTGCCGACTGGCGTGGGCGATCATGCCTCTCCATAATCCACGATCTCCTGCAGCATGTATCAGTTCGTGTGCCGACACACCTCTATGCCATGCAACAAGACTGTCAAGAATCTTCTCTCGTTGTCGTAATATTCTGAGGCATGATTGACTAGGGATAATACAGCGGTGGTTTCCAGTTGCCTTCCGCCGGTTTGTATATGGTTTGATTCCAATAGCCTTTGTCTAAAGAGACCTACCTACCTTGCAAGGCAGCATGGGGGGAGAGGTTATGGCGCCTCTTACCCGCCGATGGCCATGTCGTAGAGTTTTGAGGTATTTTATAGTTAGCACCAACAAACTCGCCTCCTCTCAATCACCATCACCTGTTTTGGTCCACGGCCACTTAATCAATATATTCGTGGCTAACCTCTATATCTAGAGGCCTTTTCACCATCCGCCACCTGGTGGACGCGCCTGGTAGTAGGACAGGTTCTACCCCAGGTGTCTGAATATAAATGAATAAACAAGTAAAGGTCCCCCTTCCACGCCTTTAGGCATATAGGCCTAGATCTATATTTTTATAGACCAATTGGCACAAGATGGGTGATGTGGTCAGCATCACACCAGCCGCCTTTACTTCCCAGGATTGCACCCGGTACCCACTCATGGCTAGGTCACACTGGGTGTCTAGGTAATTTTTGAAAAAAGTCTGGCTTCACCAGGGAGTGAACCCATGACCTTCCGATACGCACGCGTGCGTCTAGCTACTACGCCACGGTGACTCCCCATCTCACTATAGCACAGTGTTACATTGTCATCTAGAAAGGTGCCTCAAATGTGCTCTCCATTCTAAACTGTTTCTGATGTTTCTCAGATTACTTCTTCTGTTTTCTGCACACACCTTTAAAAGGGGGCTTGGCAACTAGGCTATGATATCATCCTTTTGACCGAACACATATGATTTCAAAAAGTCCCTTTGCATCTTAAATCCCCCCCCCCCCCCCTTTTTTTTTTAAACACCTTTGCAAGCATGTCAAACTGTTGACAAATTGGTGGTGTTTCCATTGAAGTCAAGAGTGTATCTGCCTGTGGGGTGAGGGACAAAATGTCTGCATACAAATAAGTCTGACTCTAAAACATATGTGCATGCAAAAACACAAGCTCTGGGACAAGACTAAAGTCTTCAAGGGGAATAACAACCAGAACTTTCAACCAGAGTTTACAGCTGGTAAACCTTGAAGGAGAAGAAGAAACGAGTAATTTTAATAGAAAAAGTGTTTTTTTTTTTTTTAAACCATTGCAGCAGCACATCATGAATACATTTATTTCACTATTAGTATTAGGTGCATTACTGCATGTGCCTCATCCGATATAAAGTTCAGCTACATAATACAGCTCAAAGTTCATTTAATTTTCACTTATAATGCAAATATCTTTGTTTACACAAGTCCCTTCAACCCATTAAAAGATAAGTTTTAGATTATTTTTTTTTTAAAGCATTCTGAAATTAGTATAAGATGTGATCTCATTTGGGGGCCGCCGGGGTGAATCGGTCTGAAGGTTGTAGGTTCAAATCTGCAAAGAGCAGGAAAAAAAAGGACCTTGGTTGACCAGCTAAAAATGAGTACCAGGTAAAGTCCTTGGAAGTAAAGGTGGACGGCATGATGTTGACCAACACCAGCTAAGTGTCAGTTGGTCTATAAAATATAGGTCTAGTACTATATGCCCAATATGCTGCAGAATGGTCCTTTGTGATACCTGTAGGTTGCACAGGTAGACTGAGGATCTCCTTATAAATTGTAAATATAGGATTGGTTTGCTAGTTAGTTTGCTAGCTGGCTAGTTTGTTTCCTGATTTGTTGGTTAGCTGATTGGGTGATTGGTTTGTTTGATTGGCTGGTTGGTTTGATTGGCTGGCTAGTTGATTGGTTGGCTGTTTGGTTGGTTTGCTAGTTGAGAAGTTCTGGAAGAGGCCTTTTTTTATAGTCCAGAGCTTTGATATTCAAGTCAGCTGAGCTCTGAAAAGCTCTTGCATTCAGTGGAGTAAGGTTGGTTTAGATGAGGAGTTCCCAAATAGATAAGTCCCACGGACCCCTTTTATTTTCAGGGGCCTGCCATAGAGTCCCTACTTAAATTTTTTTTAAAGGAGTATGTCTGTAATCTTCTTCTGCCTTCTATCCTCCATTGGAGCACAGGCCCACAACCAACTCACTGTCGGTTCCAGTGCAAAGACATTCTAGTTATGTTTTCAGGTTTTCTCAAAGTGTCCTATTCACTGCCAGCATCTTCTCTTCACCACTTGATCCACTGGAACCTATTTAATTATCTCCCAAAGCACATTATTGTTCATTCTATCATACCATTTAATTTCCTGTATTCTGCGCAGGCACCAGTTAATGAGTGTTTGTAGTTTATTAGTAATAGTTTTAGTTCTCGATGTTTCCACTTCATATAGCAGCATTACTGATTTGACATTAGAATTAAACATTTTGAGTTTAGTACTAGTCTATGTTAGAATCACAAAAACAGGTGGGTTGAGGGTTTTTCAAATGATATCATTGACCCCTTAAATTTATTTGTGTCTGCGGACGGCTGTTAGAGAACCACTGCTGTAGACACTGCTGAGGACCATTTTGCAGAGCTCTCCTTTCCCTCTCTGAGCTAAGAAACCATCAGGAGTGCTGGGTGTTCTGTAGGTAGGCATACTAGTATACAAGCAGGCCCTACGTAATTCAGCACAGCACATACATAGACAGGAGCCACTAGAGTGTGATGGCTAGACACTCACTAGCCGGCCTGGCAGTCTTTGGTTCAGATTGATCAAGGAGATTTTTTTTTCAGAATTGATTGGCTGCTAGATCAACCCATCCTAAAATGGGTACCTGATAGGGCCTTTTTTTTTCTCACATGCACAATGGTGCTCAGTAGTAGCATGTTTTTAAATGCCTTTTTTTCCCAGTGCTATGTCGATAGACATTTGGGTTTACACATAAGGACTGCCTTATATAAGCCTGGGTGGGCCATGATGTTTGCTCCACAGATTTTCTTATTTCAGTGTTGACAAACTTCATTTCAGTGTCCAGAAAGGCAGTGTGTTGGAATTGCTATAAATGGAGTGTTTAAAAGTTTAAAGAGCACAAACTCATAGCTCCAGCGACAATCCCCAGAGATCTCCATAAAAGTTGCACTCGTGAACCTAATGACGCAGCTGTGAAACAAACCCACGACCTTTAAAATGTGAGGCAAATGGCTTGACCACTTTGCCGAGGAGACCCCCCTCTGGAGTTTTTGGAGCTTGAATATATTGTAACAAGTGTGTGTCTGACAGATCATCACTTCCCCCGTTGAGTCAGCAGTTATCTATGTTGAACTTGCTGTTTTTATTACTGTGTGTTTATTCATTATCATCATCATCCTGTAACACTGCGTGTCGTTGGGTCACCAGTTTCTGTTGAGACTCTCATCTGTTCTCTCCACCTTTGGTGGTAAGTTGCAGTGGACTTTATGGTTGCATGCCTAAGGCCTGTCCAGTCAGTCAGGTTCTGTAACCAGGTCTTTCTTGGTCTGCCTCTTCTCCTGTTTCCCTCTACTGAGCCCTGCAATAATGTATTTATTGGTTGTGGTTAATATATATATTTTTTTAAATTGTGGGGCACCTTTCCATCTTTATAGATGTTTTATATTGTGCTGTAGAGAGGCATGGGCAGCACAGCCTATGGTGTGTGTAACTAGCAAGACCTGTTCACATTAAGAAAAGTGTTCCACATCTTTAGCATAGGGTTCTGAGACCATTGCTTGCCATCCCATCATGTGTATTTAATGAGATGGATGTACAATCAGAAAGTAACCGGGACTGTGTTCTTGAGGCATGGCGTCAGCCTCGAGTGCTGGGGGTCCAGGGTTCAGGCCTCGTTGAAGGCTAGGATTTTTTCACGTGGCCTTCTAGTAATTTTTTCCTAGTCTCTGGGTAGTAAGATCGGACGCACGTGAGTATTGTTGTGTGCATGAAAAATTCCTTGGCAGTTGAAAATCAAAAAGAGTAGCCGAACAGCACTGCCTGGGCAAATTTTGAGTTTAAAATCTACCCAAAGTATTTCAGGATCCTCGCCAGTGCTACAGAGTTTGTGCACTGCTCTGAGATTCTTTCGACTCGGGCTTGAGTTAGAAGTAGAACGGAGCACTTATGGGTTACTTTCCTTGTGCCATGATGTTGATTCATTGTATAAACCAAACCATACTGGTACCATCGGAATTGGAATTCTTCCATTTGCTGCTGAAGATAGTGCTTATAGAAGTGTCCTGCGTGCTGTGATGTTGATTTCTTGTTCAACATGTATATTTAACATGCTTCTTCTGCAATGATCAGCTTTTAACTTTTCTGCAATCATTTTTCTGGAGAAAAATTGTTTCGAAATCTTCCCAATTACTGTTATTTCCATTTTCAGAACTTGGACGTCCAATCACAGGTCAGAATAGTGTCTCCAACAGCTTTTCTCCATCAGGATTGAATCAGACACCAGAAGTCGACTTGCGGAGGCTGCTAAATGAACCAATGTTCTCCCCGGGTCCATTTGCTAATGCCAGCCAAGACATGCAGCATATGAGCATTCCTAACTACTTTGATTTTCCAAACAACTCGCCGAATATGCCGCCTTCTTCAGATACTGATCTAGGACTTTTCATGCCCAATTTTCAGCCTTCACGCTCCAACTCAAATTACGGTAGAGGTAGTTTTAGCGGTGGTTCTCAAACAGGATTCACAAATCCAAATAGCAATCAGTTCTCCTCAAATTACTTCAACGGAGGGCAAGCAGTCAGCAACAGAAACAGCAGAAGTGGCTTCTATTCCCCTCCAGGAGTGCCTACAGTTTCAGGCTTCAGCAATGCTACAGGATACTATTCTCCATCGAGGCAGAGCACTGAGTACTTCACCACATCATCAGGGAGTTTCCAAGCATTTAGTTCACAGGATTTTAGCCTGCCCCCTCCAGCTCAACCTTGGCGAGGCAGTGGTTCGTCGTACATGATGGAGTCTGTTCACAAGCGAATCACTTGTGAGTCATGCAATAAGCACTACAAGTGGCCACATGTTCTTGAATGTCTTCACGTCTACTGCTTCCCATGCATGACTGCCAAGTACGATCCAGTGGACAAGAGTATAGTATGCCCTGAATGTTCTCACAAGACCTCACTGATCAATGGGCCCTGCTCCCTGAAGCTAGACTACCAGGGGGCTAAATTCATGAGAGAAGTCAATGCCTTCCCATTTAACTGCACAGCATGCACCAGGGACATGGAAGCCGTGATCTGTTGTACTACTTGCATGGCTTATCTGTGTTCTGAATGTCGCGATGGGCACAGAAACATGAATCAGTTCCAGAATCACACACTGCTACCAATTACAAAGGTCGGAAGGACGGATGATGGAGAGTATACAGCATTCTGTGAGAAACATCCTGTGGAGACCTTGTCTAAATACTGCTGTGTCTGCGAGTGCATGATCTGCTCCGTGTGTATTACTGACCATAAGCATCCAGACTATCCTAACAACATCAGTGGCAGCCATACTTTGGAGGAGATATACCCCATTGTCGTGGAAAGGCTCAACAATTGGAATGAAGATGCCCATATCAAAGCCAAAGATGTGGCTGACATGGCAAAGCAAGCCCCACTTAATATGCAACACATAGAGAGCAAGAGAAGAAGCTGCCGGAAGCAAATCGATGAATATGCTGATTACTGCAAGACTGTTGTAGAGCAGAACCGCCAGGCTGCATATGAACTGTTGGACAAGACAATTGCTCAGATGGAGAGTGATTCACTAGCCTGGACCACTACTGCAAGCAAAATAACCAAGGAGTTGGAAGCAGTGACTGCATTCAACACACGTACTGTTCAGTATGGTTCTCTTTCTGACACTCTAGGCCTGTTGGAATTGATGGAAAGTGCCTACAAGAGATGTGTGGAGCATTACTCCAGCATTATCAAGAACAATGAGAGCATCAAGATTGACCTAAAGTTTGATCCAAACTATAAAGAATCTCATGCGGTGCTGAACCAGAATTTCCTCTCCATCAGCTACTCTGTCAACGGGGTAGAGCATAAGGTGTTGCCAACATCAGGTAACTCAAGAGGGGAGCTCACTCGAGGTCGCAGTTTCTCTGATTACACCGTCGCTGGCTCCGAGAACTCTGATTGTAACTACCAGCGTTGGTCAGCTGCCCCAGACTCCATGTCCATCTCCACTTGGAACAATGTGAATGACAGGGATCGAAAGAGCGGCACCTTTATTCCACACTTAAACCGTTGCCGCACCAAGACTTCCTACATCCACATGTTTGGAGAATATGGTCGTGGAGAGTATGCATTTACGGAGCCCAGTGGTCAAGCATATCTCAAAGATGGTTCATATGTGATATGTGATACCAACAATCACCGAATAGTGTACTACAATGCAAAGCATGAACATGTACGTACTATTGGTCAGCCTCCAAATCTGCCACCAGTGGCCGAGGAACAAGAGCAGCGAAGTAACGGACCTAGAGGCAAAGGATTCGCACGCCAGGATGGGTACTTGTACTTCCCCAATCGAGTGGCAATTTGTCCCATCACTCAAAACATAGTAGCCACTGAGAGGCCACCAAGCCATGATGTTCAGATCTTTACAGTTACCGGAGAGTTTGTGCGCTGTTTTGGCGGCAACATTTTGCAGCACCCAAGAGGTGTGACTGTCGATGAGGATGGCATTATCATTGTAGTGGAGTGCAAGGTCATGAAACTGGTGATGTTCAACCAGGATGGCAGCTTCATCGTGTCACATTCCCTGACCAAGGATCTGGAGTTCCCTAATGATGTTGCAGCCAAGGATAGTAAGATCTTCATTAGCGACAACCGGGGGCATTGTGTTCAAGTGTTCAACTACAATGCAGAGTTCTTATACAAGATTGGTAATGAGAGCATCACCTACTTTCCTATTGGTGTTTCCATCAACCATCTCAACCAGGTGGTCGTTACTGACAACCACAACACATTTAACATCACAGTGTTCGATATGAATGGCACAGTGCTGCACATCTTTGAGTCGGTCAGCAAGCTGGCACAGTGTCACAACGTGGCTGTCCACCCTTCCAACTTGGAGTTGATGCTGACCACCAAAGACTGCAGCGTCTACTTCTTCAACTACGACCCCAATGTTGCACATCCTCTCACACCTCCAGCCAGTCGAGGATCCGGACACCTGGGCGCAGGATCGGCAATCGCTCGGCGCCCCCGCGGCAGTGGAAATGGGAGTTCTACAAGCTCTTCATTTTACTGATGACATTCTCAGCTTCCTTGCCAACTGATTATTTTAAATTGCCAGTTTGTTTTGTTTCAGCTTTTTGATTATGACTGCTAACGTTTGTGACTACGTTGTTGCTGTTATTTTCATATTTATATATTATTGCTTGTTTATGAGCAAGTTAGCCTTTTCTATTGTTGAATTGTTGAGTCCCTTGGACCAGTCACTGACGCAGGAGGAAAAGGAGTATTACAAGTTAGTGTCTTTATCATCCGAACATCATCTCCAGAGATTTCCGTGACTGATCACCTGTGTTGCAATTTGTGTGCAATTGAACTTGTCCCCTGCATGTCTCTTGATGTTTTTTTAATAGAAAAAAATAATGTTATATAACTTGTTGGCGTAACCTTGTTAATTCTCTTATAACTGTTAGTGTCTTTTATCTTTCACTTTTTTCCTTGCTGCAAAGGAGTTTAAGTACTTTAGTTTTATTGTGATCTTTATTTTTCATTTGTCTTTCAAGGTCTTCTTTATTTTGTTAGTTTATCTGGAAACATCCACTGTTTTGCTCTGTTTCGGTAGTTTATCTTGAAACATCCACTCTTTTGCTCTGTTTCGGTAGTTTATCTTGAAACATCCACTCTTTTGCTCTGTTTTGGTAGTTTATCTGGAAACATCCACTCGTTTGCTGCTTAGTTATTTTCAGGATGTTTCATTTCTTCTTCCTTGTTTGCCTTATGTAACTACCGCATATCAGTAGAGGGTACATACATGTTAACGCTGGATATGTTATCACCTTCTCAAGTTTTCCTTCATTACTTTTCCTGGTTTCTTCTATTTTCACCTACTTCTGTTTTGATATTTTAAGCTTTTATTTATAATTCACAAAAACCAGCCATAACATTTATGTAGTGTAAGATAAATTATTTATTTTCTTTTTCTCGTGTAATACAAACAAAAAAGAAGTTTTATGGCAGATACTTGTGGAGTCTCTTGCTACTGAAACTACTTTTTCAAATTTTTTCATTGCATTATCATTGTTATGTTTGGTTTGTTTGTACTGTATGATTAACACTTACCATAGTTACTGTCATTTTGTGAATTAGTTTTTCAGTATTTTTTTTAATCCATCAGTAAACTTTATATTTATTGTTGTTCTTATTCTTTTAAACTGGTTTATTTCGAGAATATCTTCAGAAAGTGTTTTCTATATCAAAGTAATTTAGCATCTGTACAGTAGTAGCTGATTCTTCTTTCTTGATATATCTTTTTTGTTTGTTTGTTTTAAAATAGATATTCTGGTAACTCTGCGTGGTATAAACCTTTATCAGTCGCCTTTCTATAGTTTAATGAAGTAGATAGTTACTTATTTTCCATTAATATATTATACCTGGTTCTTGTGTTCATTTTTGTATGCTTGTATGTGGACATTATATGTGCTCTTATTTTCATATTTATGATTCATACTGCAGTATCTGAGATTTGTTGGGTATCCGAAGCAGAAATATACTGTCACCTTGCTAATGTGGTTGTTAGCACTTATTCAGGCCAGTCATATTCCGAATTGTATAGTTTTTGTAATTCTGGGATGTACTTATTCTTGAATAATAGTTTTAAATTATTTGCCATTTAGTTGAGTTTAGAATTAGTGTCACAGCACTCGGAACGTTCCTATTACCTCTCCATTCACACCTTCATCAGTGGAACTGTTTCTTCTATCTCAAATTGTCAGCAGAATTAGACATTTCTTGAAAATGTTTCTCTTTTTTTTTTAACGCTTCTTTTCTTCTTTTCCTGTTGCTGCAAAAATTCAGGATGTTAATAGAGCATTTATTCCCAAGCGGAGCTCTAAGGGGTGCCGTATGCACTTCCCAAGGGTTCCTTCACCCCTGCTTCAGGAAAATAAATAAAAATTGAATGAAATTAAAGGTTAAGAAATAAATAATATCTAAGGGGCTCCACCAATTAAATTTGATTCTAAAAAAGGGCTTCGCGAGCGTAAAGAGTTGGGAAACAGTCTCTCCGCTCATATGTTGGAAAATATACCACATGTAGTGAAAAACTGTTGCCATCTATGGCTTCAGGGTTATGATCACATTGCCATAATACACCACAGGCAGTTTGGCAAGCTGAATGTGAAACAAGATGTAGGTTTTTACCTTCTAACGGTTTTAACTCTTTCAGTCCCAGGGCCTTCTCTCAGCAAATATTCAAGAGAATAAATTACCACTACAGAAAGTCAAAAATGCATAACTTTCAAACAGGCAAATTACGCAGCAGAAGTGATCAGTAGTAAAATGGGGAGTGACAACCTGACTTGAGGGTTCAGATTCAAGTGAAAAAGTATGATATCCATCATATGTCGCATGGGACTGAAAGAGTTAAAGTAAAGAAGTACAGCAGAAAGGAAATTAACATTTAATGTAAAGCAAAGAATGCTGTGAATTGCTGTTTAAATACCACCTTATATACTACATAGGTCACATGATTGTTAGGTGAGGTGTACAGTTGTCTTCTTGCTTCCTTTACGCTCCCTTTCTCGTGTCTGATAAATTATTTTTATGTTTAGGTTGGTTGTTGGTCATGACAAAATTGTTCAGACTAGAAAGCCTTCAAGGTTTTTGTGATTGATCTGCTAGTCAATAATACTCTTGTGATTCCTAAGTGAATGGGACGGACATTTTTGTGATTAATCTATAGGTCCCTCAGATTTGTGATTTCTCAATAGGTCACAAAAGCTTTTGTGATTTGTCAGTTGGTCATGAAACTTTTTTGTTTTTGTTTTCTTGTGTTTGATCAGTAGATGGTCAGTAAAACTGTAGTGATATATCAGGAGTACTACACGACTCTTATCATTCGCCAGCACGCCACAAGTCCTTTTGTAATTTAACATTTGATTGACCATCAAGAAAACTATTTGTGATTTGTCCATTGATGATCAGGAAATGAGACTTTTGTGATTTTCTTCCCCCAGTGGATGGTCGTGAAAAGTACTTGTGATTTATTACCGGATAATGGAGACTTCTCAGGAGCCATGCTAGCGCAGTGGTTAAGTCAAATGTTCAAATCTTTTTTTGAAGCAAGGATTTGTTTTAATCACCTTGGCTCCGAGTACCCAGGCTGAAATGGGTACTGAAAGTTTCATGGGAAGTAAAGAGGAAATTTACTGCACCACCTATCGAGTGCCATTTAGTCTAGAAATACGGTGCTATCACATATAGCCTGTATGTTTTATAATGTGAAAGACTGGATTTTTCCTTTTCTCTTTTTTAATTACAAAACACCAACAATTTTTAATGAAATCTTGAAAAAAAAAAATCCTTCTGCTTGATAGTTTCTAAAATTTATGCATTTGTATGTCTGCTTATTATTTTTTCACTTCATTTGTCAGTTGAGATTTTTTAATTCTTCAGTATATGATCACATGATTTCTAATTCTTTTTTTTTTTCCAGTAGATTGTCACTAACAGTTCTGAATCTTCAATAGATGGTCACTACAGCTTATGACATTTAAAAGATGGTCACCTTATTCTTTCTTCAGTAGATAATCACTAGGACCTGTGATTTGTGATTCCTAAATATTTAGTCATTTAACACTTTTAGTTCCTTAATAGATGGTCTTACAATTCCTTGGTAGATGGTCATTAAATCTGATGATTTCTGGCTGTCACTTTGTGGGTTGAGAGTGTGTGTGTGTTGTCCATCAAGATGATGATGACCACTCTTTTATGAGTACGAAGATGACTGATGAGGGCCCGAACAGTTTTTGGACAATGAGGTCCGGGAATGAGCATTGTGCCAGGGAGGGGATCTCCTGCAGTCGCCTTTCTGTCCATCCTTTTCTTAATCAGTCTTGCTGTTCTGTTTGCTTCACATGTAGCCGCGCCCTTGTGTAGAGCTGCACGCCATGGATTTCGGTCTTGGGAGGCAGCCTCCCAAATGGTGTCATTCATACCAAATGCTTTGAGTGAAGACTTCCAGGTGTGGTTTGAGTACTGATTGACGTTTAGCAGTTTCTCTGTGCAGCAGCATCATGTTTGTTGTTACGTAAAGCATTCACCCATAGCGTGGGTTGACCCGATGGTAAATATTATTCTCTGATTAATTATCCATGTTAACAGCTGTGTACTGTAGCTTTTACTTCATGGTTAATGTTAATGTTACTCTTTTTGTTGATTCAACATAGCTGCATTTTGTGGGTTGACTTTATGGTAAATGTTATTCTCTTGTTACTTATCCATTTCAACAGCTGTGTATAACTATGTTTATTTGTTATTGTTGATGTTCGATGTAGATGGTTGTGTAATATTGTTACTGTGTATATCAGAAATGTTTTGATGATTATATATGTGTATTATATCACTTCATATGTCAGGGTAGTTAATGGTATCCGTACGTTGATTGTAATGTTTTGAGTCATCACATTACTGGCTGTTTTATTTCTTTCTCCACACCGACTCACATGCTTTTTTTTGTTTTGTTTTGCTATTTATATTTTTGTTTTCTCATTCCAACTTTGCAGCAGGTATACTTGTGGGAGTTGGGTATCTAGTCTCTTTGGTACTCATCTTTGTAGCCTCATGTTTTTTGTAATCTGTTTTAGTTGATGAATATATGAACTTCATGTAGCTATTTTTTTTATTAGGAGCTGAAGGTCCATTATGAACAAGGACTGATTTAATCCGAACCCTTTTACACAGCAAATGCTTTTGGCCCTGATCCTGTAGAAATTTCCAGAAACTAATTTTAAAAACAATACAACTTTTTTACACAGGTCACTAGCAGTTATTTTGGTATTTAAAAAAAAAGATGTATCTACATTAAAAAATGTTTTCTTCTGAAAGCACAGTTGCTAGAACGACAATGACAAAACAAATGTTTAATATATTCCAGTCTAATTAAAGCAGTGCCCATGTTTGGCCAGGGACTTTGATACAATCATATGTAATTAGGACTGTTTCTGTGTGATTGTATTATTTCTGGGGATATTTATATTCAGTTTCCTACATCTCGATGCCTAAAACAAATTCCGACGG